TCGAGTCAGCCCTGACTCATAGCGACCCCTCCTTGGGTTTCCAAGGCAGTATCACTATGGAAGTAGGATTGCCCAATCTTCCTTCAGAGGAGTGGCTTTGGAGAATAGCACTAGTTATATTTCTGAAACTATGTTTGATACTGACTTACAATAGTAAATGTCATGATCTGAACTCACTTGTTACAAATTCTTAAACTTGCATTTTTTACTGATAAAGAAGTTGATAGGCATACCATTCTAGCAGAAAGCATATTGAACCATGAATTGGAAGATCTGAATTCCAGCCCCATCTTTATCACATAAACTTAGTCACTTCATTTCTCCACACCTTTCTGTTCCAGTTGTAAATTGTGGCGGTTGGAGCAAATAACCTTAAAGGCCCCTTCTGTGATCCTATGATTCCTTTGAAAATATACCAGAGTCTAAATTTTCCTTTCTTGCAACCCAGAAGAATTTCTTGATAGTGAATGATTCACGCTTGATGGTTTATTTGGAAAAGGTACACTAGAATGAAACACTGTCCAGGCCTGCATTATTCTCAGAATCACTATGTTTCAGCTCATTATTGCAGCCACTGTGTCAATGCATCTCACTGGGGGTCTTTCTCTTCTTTGATGACCTTCTACTTTACTAACAAGATGTCCTTCCCCAGTGACTAGTTCCTTGTGTTAACATGTTCAAAATACATGAAACCAAGTCTCACCATCTTTGCTTCTAAGGAGCATTCTGGCTGTACTTCTTCCAAAACAGATTTGCTCATTCTTCTGGCAATCCATGTTATAGTCAATAGTTTTTGCCAACCCATAATTCAAAGGTAATGATTCTTTGTTGACCTTCCTTATTCTTTGTCTAGCTTTCATATGTATGTAAGGTGTTTGAAAATAGCATGGCATTGCCAGATGCACCTTAGTCCTCAAGAAGATATCTTTGCTTTAAAGAGGTCTTTTAAAGCAGATCTGCCCAATGTAATACATTGTTTAATTTCTTGACTGCTGCTTCCATGGGTGTTGATTGTGGATCCAAGTAAAATGAAATCCCTGACAACTTTAATCTTTTCTCCATTTATCATAATGTTGTTTATTGGTCCAGTTGTGAGGATTTTTTTTCCTTTATATTGGGGTGTGATTCATACTGAAGCCTCCAGGCTTTGACCTTCATCAAAGTGTTTTGAGTCATCCTTGCTTTCAGTAAGCAAGGTTGTGTCATCTGCATGTCACAGGTGGTTAATGAGTCTTCTTCCTATCCTGAGGCTGCTTTCTTCTTCATATAGTCCAGCTTCTCAGATTATTTGCTCGACACACAGACTGAATAAGTATGATGAAAAGATACAACCCTGGCACACTCCTTCCTGATTTTAAACATGCAGTGTCCCATTGTTCTCTTCAAATGACTGCCTCTTGGTTCCAAATGAGCAAAATACTTAGCCAGCACTTTAAAACAACTGTAGTAATTGTAAAACTTGACCTCCAAGATCAGTGAGGAAAATATATTCTAAATAAAATCCTTTAAATTAATTTCTAGTAAATTAATTAATTTCTAGTAAAAGTCAGTAGAGGTCCTGAGCCAGAAACCACCAGCTAATTAGGATATTTTAGGTTCAAGTTCTGGATCTGCCACTACTGCTTTGTGACTTTGGGAAAATCACTTAATGTTGGTGATTTGGTTTTCTTATCTCAAAATAAAGGCAATGAAATCTTTCTGCCTGTTTCCCAAGATTTTCATAATACTCTAAGGTCAGTTAAAATACTGAATACTTTTCAGAGTCATAATTGACTTTGGAAAGAAAACTGTGACCTCTGAATTTTGCTGATTACTTTCTAATATGTTTCATATGATACAGGTTTCTTTATGAATATTCAAGAAGACATCCAAAATTGGCAGTTCCAGTAATTTTAAGAGTGGATGAAGTGTATCAAAATTTATTGGGAAAATGCTGCCAATTACAAAACCCGCTGGAATGCTATAGCCGTGGGGTAAATTTCTTCCTTCTCTTTTCTAAACTGTTACAGATGATTACAAACAGGAAAAATTCAAGTGCCATTAGTAGCACCATGTTTTTGTAAGATGATCATGCATGCTCTTTCTAATTGCAGGTACTAGACCAGAAACACATGTCTTCTATCTATATAAAAGGCCACATCATCAAACCTTAACACCTCTGTGGGGGAGTCAGCTTGGTAGATTTGGTGTTTATTCATACCTTTTCTGTGTAATGTCCTTTGCGAAGTGAATATAGATGGCTGGCTCCACCCCATGGCTGGTAGCATGAAAGAATAGCCAACTATAGTATGAGAAGGTCTACTATTTTCATGAAGCAGCCTTGGAAATTGCCTTTATTTCAGTCCAAAAATCATTCTGCTCACAGGTAGTGTTTCTGTTGTATACCTGATATGAAAAAGCAGGTGGTCTCACAAACCTCTGGCCAGAAAGTCCAGTATCAATGGTTTTCCCTGAGCCAGGATGGTTCTGGTTTGTCATTTTAATTAATGGCTTACCTACTTGTAGAGGATTGAGGCAATGCAAAATGGTATCTCTTTTCCTGTCTGGGCTCAAACAAGTACACCAAGCATATGTCTTTGCCCAGAGAAAAGGATAAATGAATGTCATTTACTCTTCTGTAGCAAGTACCTTCTCCTACTGCAGTCCTTCAAAATACTTAAGATGGGAACAGCACCTTACAGGAGCATGAAGCTTTAAATTTGACAAAGAAGCTTCACAATCAGTGTCTTACTTGATCCTCACAACAGCTTGGCAAAACAGGCAATAATGATAATTAATCACATATTACAGGTGAGAGTCTTGAGTTTCAGAAGGTTTAGGTGATTTGCCCAACAACACACAAGCAGTAAGAACAGGGCTAAGTATTAAAACTGAGTCAATTATTTGCAAATCTGATAAAATCAAGTAGGCTGGGTTTGATTAGTTAAGATGTAACCAATTCTCCTACAAAAGAGCTAAGATCATGTAAGATCACAGTATCATCCCTGTGGAATGTTATTTTCATGGTCTATGAACTTTTTGAGTTTTCCCTTTGTTCTGTAAGTTTCATTTGATTCACTTTAATGCATATTTGTGAGTGCTTACTATATTCATAAAGAGCTCTGGTGGCATTGTGGTTAAAGCATTGGGCTACTAACCAAAAGTTCGGTGGTTTAAACCCACCAACAGCTCCATAGGAGAAAGATGAGGCAGTCTGCTTCCATAAAGATTTACATACAGCCTTGGAAACCCTATGGGGTAGTTCTGCTCTGTCCTATAGAGTTGCTATGAGTTAGAATTGACTCAGTGGCAATAGGTTTTTGTTTTGGTACTATGTTAATACATATCAGTATTTCCATACATGTATCTACACATCTATATCTGCTCTGCTTAACCAACACACACACACCGACTAACCATACTTGGATCTATGAATGACCTCTAAAGGTCTCTTTCTGGCTTAAAGATTGAATCTTGAATCAAGCTGGAAGAATGGTTCAGCTTATGCATGTAAAATATGCATTTAAATCCACAAATGAGTTGGTTTATGTCATTGGAAACTTAATATCAATCTTGGTTTCTCACATCTCACAAAGTACAGGGTAGTATGTCTTTTAACAAAACATTTTTTTTCAAGATTGGCAAACTCACAAGGTAGATAAAGCCTTGGGTTTAGGAAAATAGTTATATTAAATTATCACAGAAGGTAGTTTTGCAATCTCACCTCTGGATATACTGTTGCAATCATAGATACGCACTGATTTTCTTTCTTTTTCAGAAAGAGATGTTCCAAAGAGTGGTTCAGGAAAGCCACAAGCAAGTAAAAAATCACTGTGCTTTACACAAGAAATTAGGAGATAGTAACTTCCACAACAGGTATGTCTCAAAGATAGTCTCTGGGTTTATGATTCTTAGTGAGTTTTAGTGAACTCCTGATTTTGAGAATGGTGAAGAGTTTATATCTTAACTTAAAATCTAAGAGGCCAAGGAAAAGAATCAGTTTAGAATTAACTTAGCTCTCTTTGTCTTCATAAGATAAGAGTTTACCCACCTTGGGTACTTCTACAGTGCTCTCCAGTCAGTTCTATGGATTTCAGGCAAGGCCCAGAGGCTGGGGATCTGGCCCAGGTTTAGTTGATACCTGTAATATCACAGAGCCCCTCTCTCACACTGGAATCTGAATATTTAGTTTCCGGCTCACCTGAGATTTTGTGTCAAGGATGTAACAGAAATCTTATCTATAGTCCTTTTGTTTGTTTCAAGCCAGGTTCATATAGCAAACTTAGTATTTTTACCACTGAGATAAGAGATAATTCAGTGTCTTTATTTGCCAGAGCAAACACACATATAGAATCTGGTAAAGCCCATAATATTTTAAAGTTTGAGATATGAAAAATTAAAAGCCATTTTTTTGTAATCCTTAGGATCTTACCATAAGAGTATCTTTAGAAGTAGAGTATAGAGGAAAAGTTCAGTTTGATATTGTTTTTGTTAGGTGCCGTAGAGTCAGTTCTGCCTCATAGTGTCCTATGTACAGCAGAATGGAACACTTCCTGGTCCTTTGCCATCCTCACAGTTGTTGATATGTTTGAGCCCATAGTGCCTCATATTATTGAGCTTAAATTAAATGTCCAGAACAATGGATTCAGAAAAAGTATTCTTGTTCCAGAAAGAATATTTGGCTTATTACTTTTTTATTACATTGTGCTCAGTTGTTAATATATTCTTTGAGGATTAGATCTGGTTCTCAAACTTTAGAGTACATTAAACTTACCTGGAGTGCTTATGAACAGATTCAAATTTGAGTTTCCGACTCAGTAGGCTTGGGATAGGCCTTCAGAATCTGAAATTCTAAAAAATTCTTGGAGATGCCAATACTGCTGGTTCAGGAATCATACTTTTAGAATCACTGGATTAGGTGCATTGCATCATCGCGTGTTGTAAAAAATAACTCTTCCCCCAACACACTTTCGATCAGAATTACAATTTAATTGATTCTGATTCTTTATCTTCAAATCTAGTTCTATTAGGATCTTTCTCCTAAAGATTTCTTTTCATATCTTTCAGTTCCCACCACCACTTTCCTAGTTCAGTCCATCTTTTATCTGCACTGCTAGAGCAGGGTTTCTTCCCTTGCTTTGCCTTTTACCCAGGTCCAATCAATTCTTTACACAAAAGCCATTGTGATTGTAAAAACATTACAATTCTGCCTCTGTAACCAGGTTTCTCCATTCCTCTTTCTCCAATCTCCTATCCTCCAAACATGAAAGCAATTGAATGATTTCCCAAACGTTCCTCCCCCACCTTCGTTGCCCTTCACCTGGCTAATTCCTAGTCATCTGTTAGAGCTCAGCTTAGATCCATTTCCTTTCAGAGGCCTGCCGGACCAATCTGGGATGGGATACGATGCCATTCCATGTGCATCTGTAGCCCTCTGCTCTCTTCTCATCACATTGGCTCCTTGTCTCTTTCCTCTACTAGGGTGTGAGTCCCATGAGGGTATGGACAGCTCCTGATCATTACACTTTCCCTTATTCCTGGAAAATGCTTAACACTTTGAAGATAAACAGTAAAAGCCGTAATGGCCTATGCATATATTTATTTCAGAAGTTGTGTACTCTAAGGCTTATCTACAGCCATCCAAATCAGCTATTGTAGCATCTCTGATAAACAGAACAAAGATAGGTCATGAGAGATGGGAAGAGAATTCTAGATATCTTGAATAAGACATTGGAACATTGAAAAAACAACTAAAAGGATAGTATTAAGCCCAATTTAATGTCTTGTTCATCGTAAAGCAGAGATAAGTTAGATAGTGAGGAATTTTTATATTCTGTAAATTTTTTTTCTTTAACATTTGGATGCAGAGCCATTATCAGAAGTAAGAGAAAGTTATTCTTTCAGGCTTCTAGTCCTTTATACTAAGAAAGCCCCACAACTATCTGCTCAAGAGTTGGTTGTGTTCTCAAAGAACATGGCAGCCACTGCCACCAAATGCTGCCCCCTGAATGATGAACAACAATTTGCTTGTGTCGAGGACTTGGTAAGCATATCTGTGCCTTTATATTTGCCTGTTCTCAAAGTTATATCTTCACCCCTCAGCAATCAGTCTCACTTCCAATGTACCCATCTATGAACTGCCAATACAGCCTAATCTTTCTATCTTCAGGAGAAATCCTCTCAAGTTAGTGCATACCTTTTTCTTTGGTTAGCAACATGTATAAGACTGTCACCTCTCTAACAGAGGATGTCAGATTCCCCAGGTCTATCCCAGGATCACACCCCAGGACTGATTCCTTAGAGTTTTAGGTAAAAAAAAAAAAAAAAGTGATTTTGTTAGCAACTTCAAAGATAAAACTAATTTTTAGCTTAGCTCATCCAAATCAAATGTACACAAATTAAATTTATAGGTAGAACAGTGGTATGTTCATTTACAGTGAGCCATGTCCTTTTCCATTGGCAGGAATAGTTGGATCTAAGATCTAAGACGTGTAGTATAGTTATTTGTTTCAATTGTGGTAAATATATAGGTAATAAAACATTTACCATTTCACATGTACAGTTCTGTTACATGAGATATGTTCATCACGCTGTTCAACCACTCCCATTCCCCAATTTTTCTCACCTGTAACAGATGCTCAGTGCCCCCTAGCATTGTGTTTCACTTTCTTCCTCCCTCCTGCCTGCCCCTGCTAACCACTAGTCCACTCTGATCTCTATACATGTGCCTTTCTAGATATTATAGACTTCATGTAAGTGGGGTCATATAATACTTGTCCTTTTGTAATGGTTTTATTCACTCAGCATAATGTTTTCAAGGTTCATCCATGTTGTAACATATATCAGAACTTCATTTTTCTTTATGGCTGAGTAATATCCCATTGCACGTTTAGGCTATTTCCATCTTAGGATACTGTGAATAATGTTGCAATGAATATGTTGTTGTTGTTGTTATGTGCCATCGAGTCGGACCCGACTCATAGCTACCCCTCCTTGGGTTTCCGAGGCAGTATCACTACGGAGGTAGATTGCCCCATCTTCCTTCTGAGGAGTGGCTGGTGGGTTTGAACCGCCAGCCTTCTGGTTAGCAGTCAAGTGCCTTAGCCACTATGCTACCAGAGCTCCCTGCAATGAATATAGGTACACAAGTATCTGCATTCTAGAGAACATTATTTTCTTCAATCAAAATGCGTGGGAAGCTGAATTAGGATATGGGTATTAGTGCACATGGAATCAGAAGAAGGGCAAGGATACTATCAAGTGATATTTCTTCCAGGTTATGGTAAGACATGAAAAAGTATTCTTCCCTCACAGTGGAGAACATCTCTCCAGGGACCAGGATGCTAAAGTCTCTGAGATAGAGTATTTTTCTCTCAAAAACGAAAACAAAACTCTTTGCCTTTGAGTTGGTTCAGACTCATGGCAATTCTGTGGAGTTTTCTTGGCTGTAATATTTACAAAAGCAGATTACTATACCTTTCTTCTGTGGAACTGCTGGGTGTGTATGCACCACTAACTTTTAGGTTAGTAGTTGAGTGCAAACAGCTTGTGCCATGGGGAGATCTATTATTTCTCTCTCGAGCAGTACTGTTGTAACACTATTGAATTCTAATTCCGTTACAGCCTTTCTCTGCCCTATGTTCCCTGTAGAACATCTCTTTATGCTAACTCGGTCTTTCTTTTGACAAACTATAATTGTTTAGGTTGCAGATTTAAAAGTTTATATTGTCCAGCCCTGCCTTCCTTTTATTTTATTACTAATTTTTATTATATAGTCATGACTTCTTTGGGGGAAAATTTTTTAATTAGATTTGTATATTCCCAAAGCCTTATCTATAGGAATCTCTTTGGCTACTTCTAAAATGCATAAACTCTTACATTAAATGTGGATGCTTATTGATCTCAATTACTTCATCCCACATACATTAGTGACAGGGAATTTGGGTGGTCACTATACTCAGACTGGGCAATCTACTTCCATAGAGATACTGCCTAAACCCAAGGTGGGGTCGCTATGAGTGGGAATCTTCTTGAGGGCAGTGAGAGTGAGACACTCAGACAGGCTTACAGATAGGCTTACGGACAGCATTAGGTTAACTATCAGGGTCCAGGACACCGATCTGTGACCAAAACAATGTTTCAGTTCTATAAGGAGACAAGGATATGAAGTAGGTAACTGAAAGTGAAGCCAAACATGGAATTCTTTCATCATCTGTTTATTTTTTATTCATTAAATAAATATCCACAGAGCATCTGCCGTGTGCCCAGTTCTGTAGTAATTACAGAAGTCCAGTTATAAAAATATCAACAAACTGGATTTGAGCTTCTTAAGCAAGAAGTCCAGTCATCAGTTTTGAGTTTGAGGCAAATATGCAGTAATGCTGTTTGAGGTTTTGGTAGAGCATGAGAAACTCCTGCTTCAAGTCAACACTAGTGTAATGGGTTAAATTGTATCCCTTCAAAATATGTGTCTAGTTGGTGAGGCCATGTTTCTCAGTGGTTTGGCAGTTTTGCAGTCATTCCCCGTGATTTGATCCGATGTGATTAGCCAATCAGTTGTAAAGGAATTAGTTGTTGTTGTTATTTACCTTCGAGTCGGACCCGACCCATAGTGACCCCTCCTTGGGTTTTCGAGGCAGTATCACTAGGGAAGTAGATTGCCCAACCTTCCTTCTAAGGAGTGGGATTAGAGTGGGATGTAACACGATTACTAAGATCACAGCCCTGATCCAATGTAAAGGGAGTTTCCCCAGGGTTTGGCTTGCGTCACCTTTTATCTTACAAGAGAAAAACAGACAGAGAAGTGAGTAGTAAAGAAAGACCCTGACAACCAGCAAGAAAGAAGAGCCGGGAGTAGAGGGCTGAGAGCCTCCTAGACCCAGGGGAAGATTGGTGCCATGACGTGGAGATCTCCAAAGATACCAGGCCCATAGAGTGCAAGGAGACAAGGACTTTCCTCTAGAGCTGACACAGAGAGAAACCTTCCCCTAGAGTTAGCACCTTAAATTTGGACTTCTAGCCTCCTAAATTGTGAAAGAATACATCTCAGTTTGTTAAAGCCAGCAACTTGTGGTGTTTCTGTTACAGCAGCACTAGATGACTAAGACAACAACTCTAGTATCGGGCTGGGGAGGAAACTAGAGTTGGGTCCAAGTGAACTCAACCTGAAGATGGCTTGATGAAGGAAGACAAGCTGGGAACCAGCCTACCTTGACACTCTAGCTTTTCCCCAAAGAGTGAAATGTAGACCTAACTAGCAGAAACTGAGATTTAAGGGTAATTAAATATAATCTTGTTTTTCTATGTGTAAAAAAGAAAATAACCATCAACCTATGATTCTTGTTTTAATTATTTTCTGGTAAAGACAAAGCTAATTCTTGGAGATATATGCAGAAGACATGAGACTGAGCCTATCAATGCTGGCGTGGGTCACTGCTGTAATGACTCCTATGCCTTCAGAAAGCCATGCTTTGATGATCTGCCAGTTGATGGAACTTATGTTTCTCCATCTCTATCCTGTGACAAAGTCATCAGCTTGAAAGAGGACTTATGCAAAGCTCAGGAGGAGGAGTTCCAAACTGAAAAACAAAAGTAAGGATGTTTGTTTACTTTGTTGTTCTTTACCACCAGCAAGGGAGCAGGTATAAAGAACTTTAAACTGGGCATGGGCGTAAGTATTACATAATGAATGGAACAGCTAAATATATGGCTGAAGGTCAAGTGGAATTTATAATATTCTGTAGTTTTGCAATTATTGCTATCATATTTCCAACCCCAATTTTATCACTTTTCATGATATTGAAGCACAATGATCAGAAAATGGTGAGAGGAAAATACACTAACATATTTTTCCTAAAATGTCAACTATGGAACTTGGTGACATAAAGTATTCCATGAAAAAAGTGTTCTGTTATTAAATGAGTTTGATTAAATATATTTAGGAATACTCCAGTTCCTTGTTCTTTTTAGACATTCACACCTTCCATTAGCAATAGAAGTCAGAAAGTCCTGCAATAAATTAAACTGTTTATCTTGATTTAATTTAGACTCATTGGGGTCACAGAACATACTAAGAATCTGCAGGGTGAGTATGCTGGAACATGACTTTAGAAATTTCCATTAGAGTGAAGGATGTTTATCAGCTCATAATATATAATAACTTTTCCTACTACTTCCACCACTGTTACCAGGAGTGCTTGTTTTATCTGTTTGGAAAGACAGTTTTTGAGTGATTAGTAGAAGGTATCAGCTGAGTGGTAATATGAAGTCAACTCTTGAGTCCTTAATTTCCCCTCCCTTTTTTCTGTAAGGCAGTTTCCCACACCACTAAGGCATTTGTAGTAACCTCTCAGAATATAGAAAAATATAGAAAAGTATCACTACAGGAAACCAACATTTAATACCATGTATATCATTTTTTTATGAAGATATAAAATTAAAAAGTCCTGAAAATGGAAGCCAGCTCTGATATTATCAATCCTCCCCATCTCAAATTTAGGAAATCCTTCTAAAATCCACAGGAACCATGTCTGCACAGTTCCTTCATGAATATTTCCAGTAA